GGGTTTAGGGGGCATGCTGAGGTTCCAAAGTACCCAGTCAAGCAATAATTAGTTAGTAAGGAAGACTAGTTGCTAGTACTTGGTGGAGTATGAAAGACGCCCAATGAAATCCCTCGAGAAGCGGCATGAAAAGCTCTAGACTCTAGAACCTTGTAAGGCCCTTTGGAAACCCAAGCACGGGACATATTAATGCAGATATACAGGGGGTAAAGTACCCAAGAAAGGTGAAAGAGCGACGTGAGATAAGCTGCGTCCCCGGCGGAGGGCGTGAGACGAGCTTCGCGAATTTGCGAATTAGGCTCAGAATCATGGTGGGAAACAAACAGGCACCGGACGAGCTGTGATTCTTGGGGGATGCGATGCGAATGTTTCAGGACTCGGATTCCTGGGACTACTTGGAGGTTCATGGGTAGTTATAACTGGGGTTATAAGTAGGGTAACTATACTTATAACCCATATTAGGGGACTTCTAACCCCACTTATAACTACCCATCAACCTCCAAGTATTAAGGATGCAAGGAAGTGTCGGACGTGGGACCCTGAAAGCAGGTTGGGGCGGGATTTCAATGACGGAACAACATTGGTGAAACCGTAAGATGACAATGATGGCAGACTTTTAAGGGAATACGCAGTCAATTTCAAAGAAGTGTTGAGGAGATCGAAAGCTGGATGCTAGGAAGTTCTCATTGTTTGGGGTTTAGGGTTTACGGCTTACGGGTATGTGTGCGAATGCTTACGAGCTGCCGTTTCAAATGCCTCACACCAATGCCGGAGCTTTGGATGGCGAAAAGAGATTGTCCAATAACCAGCCACAAAGACTACCCTGCGAAGTCACACCGAAACACACGAAGCCCTACCCCCTAAACCATAAATAAGTCCTAAAACCCTACGCGACCCCTGTCCTGAGGAGGACGGAGCTCCGTTCGAACCTGCATGCTCCGGTGTCGATTCACTGCTTCAGTTCAGGGAGAAGCCATGAAGGGCTGACGAGCTTTTAGAGTTCAGGGTAAAGGAACCCCCAAACCCCGTGTAACTCATCCTCACTCATGAAGTTTATGGGCTTGGGGTTCGTAGGGTTTTCGGCTATGGTTTGAGGAGATAAGACTTAGTATCTACGCTTTGGCTCTAGACTCCAGGCATCCATTCATGAATCATTCAGCCAGTACCCCTTGATAATAAGGTACCATTCTTCCTACTATTCGGCTCTAATAACGGAACCCCACAAGCAAAAGGGCACAACCCAAAGGGTCCAATGTACCTATATAGTGTAATGTAGGGTTTCTATATTAGGAATAGTTATTATGATTTGGGAAAGTATCCCCTATAAAAGTACCTAGGACCCTTTGGGCAAGGATACCACTCAGGAGCCTAGGAGAGTTCCTTGACCCGGATCCGAAATCAAAGAATTTGTGCGTCTCTAGCCAGGTCCTTCCTGGGGATCCCAAAACCTACAGTTTTTTACAGGTACATATACCCTGTAAACCTACTGGCTTTTAGGAGTTATACCCTATAACTCAGGGGGTCATGACCTACTTGTCTGTAGGGATTGGGGATACAGGGACACCTTACCAGCCCAAAACCCAAAACCCTAAACCCCTAACTCCAAACCCTAAACCCGAAACCCAAACCCTAAAGTCCTTAACCGTTCTACCTGCAGAATGCTGTGAGAGAGGAGGCCAAGGACTAAGAACGGTTTGCCCACCCAAGCACCTCATGGCACGTGCCCCGCCAAAACCTAGGCCCTAAAGCCGAAACGGCCCAAACCCGAAACCCTAAAACCCTATAAATCCTCATAGCCTAAACCCCTAAACCCCTAAACCCTTAACCCCTAACCCCAAGTACCAAGCCCTAAACCCTAATGGCCTAAACCCCTAAATCCTTAACCCCTAACCCCAAGTACCCCCCACCCTAAACCCTAAACCCTAAACCCTAAACCCTAAACCCTAGACCCTAAACCCTAAACCCTAAACCGCAGGAGGGGGCCTGAGGCGGCCATGGCGACCACGTCAGGAACTGGTGATCTACATCCCTTGAGCCAGGCTCCTCATTGACGGTTTAGGGTTTAGGGTTTAGGGTTTAGGGTTTAGGGTTTAAGGTTTGGGATTTAGGGTTTAGGGTTCATGCGTGGCGACAGTTGGCTTAGGGTTTGCGGGGTTCAGGGTTTAGGGTTTAGGGGTTCAGGGTATAAGGTTTTAGGAAAAGCCCGCGACACCCTCTCCTGAACCGAACGCCCGGGAGTTTAAGAAACTGGGTACTGTACTATAACAAAACCAAGAATCCGAAGGAAAGCTGCTTGCATTTATGCTGCAGAAAGCGCTTACAGGGAGGTGTCAGGGGGACTGGAAGAGACCATCAGGAGGAGGGGACTCCATGAGTAGGTTGTAACTGTAAGCAGGGTTGCATGCAGGACAACCCGACCCAGCATACCTTACCCAATTATTGCTTCCAAGGACTTCATAGTTAGGGACCTGGAGGACCCAATAATGAGGTCCCTGGAAGCATGGGGTTACCCTCCTTCAAGACGACTTAGTTCCCGGATATTGAAATAACACCTTTATGAACTCAAGGAGACCAAGAACCGAGTGGGAGCGACCGACGCTCTGGTCGGCAGTGCTAGTAATCATACCACGCCGAAGCTACTGGCAGGCGAGCTTCCTCTTCTGCAAATGATGCTCATAAACTATCGCTCGAACATCTCTCATGATACTATTTGGGGTTCTAGGACCAAGGTTTCTCAATCAGGCTCCTGCATTAGTATGTTCCGAGGCATAGCGAGGGATGGACAAAGGGTTCCTGATTGCTCTCAAGAAAAGATTCGAGTCGCTACTGCAAGGGCCTTAATAATTAGACTAGGGTTTTGGGGCCCATTATACTAGGTAATAATTACAATAAGGAACCTCCAAGATAGTATAGGTAATTGTTACGGCCCCTATATTACCGTAAGCAACGAAAGTGTTTCCAAGGTGCTGCATTGTGGGCCCAAGCCTGCGCAAGCTTGTTGTGCGGGATGCTTCTGGAATCTTCAGTTTGTGAGTTTACTTGAATGGACAGGGGTGTTAGTCGGGGTTCTGTTCCGAAGCCTACCTGCCTGGGCCTAAACCCTACATCCTATCCCCTAAACCCCTAAACCCTGAACCCGCAGAGTTACGCATGGTGAGAGCGTCGTGTGCTGATACCCACTGAGCACTTCAACAGGGACCATCCTATCCCACGTGCAGCTCCGATGTTGAAATCCTCTGACCTCAAATTAGGGCTTAGGGTTTATCTTGTGTATTTTGGAAGGGGGCATCCTGGCTGTAACAGAGCATATCTGTGAAAGTTTGTGGGATCGTCTTCGGCGAAAAGGGGATCGTCGGAAAGGGTATTTGGAGGATAATGGGACTTGGTAGGTAACTATAGTCATAATATGTGTCTCTTAATCACGCATTATAGCTCCAACTAAGGTACTCAGAACCTTACTTCCGAACTGTGTCCCATGATCATCCAGCTTAGACTAAGCCCCATACCCCCATAGTGCCTATATCCCTAAACCCTAAACCCAATGTAACCCTAAACCCTA